TCCTCAACCGTAGTTTTCTCATCGGAAACGCGGAAAACAAGAACACCTATGTCACCATGTCAGTGTTTAAGAGAACCCTGTGAGCATACAGTTCAGTACAAGAAACGATTGGTTGGGTAAACTGACCTGAATGAATGAATGATTGATGCTGTGGTGACCAAGTCAGTTGAGGCTGAGGTACCCCGGCTGGGAGACTAGTTCAGGGGTCCAGCAGTAAACGCATCGAGCCAGAATAGCACTGTCATTGTAGTTTTATTTGTTTTACCTGTGACTCCCCTGGGGCCCGGAAGATCCAGGCTAACTGGGCTTGGGTCTCTGTCCCGCAGACTCGGCGCGGACGTCTGTGCTGTCCTCCGGCTCTCCGGTCCCCTCAAGGAGCAGTATGCCCAGGTAGGAGGTGGCTCTCGGTGACATCTCGTGGGCGGGAAGGAGCCAGCCCCCTGGCATCGGTCGCCGTGGCTGTCTGAGTCACTAGTAGGGTCCCTGTGACCACTGCTGGCAGGGTGGTGGCCAGCTCTCGGTTTTCTGTGGGTGGACTTTTTGGGGGCATTTTCAGCTTACACTTCTTTCCCATTGGCCTCACTCACTTCAGGCCCCTCCCCAGAGCAGGTTCAAGAAAGCGCGTCCAGCCTTGGCCGGTTTGGCTCAGTGGATAGAGCGTCGGCCTGCAGACTGAAAGGTCCCAGGTTCGATTCCGGTCAAGGGCATGTACCTTGGTTGCGGGCACATCCCCAGTGGGGGGTGTGCAGGAGGCAGCTGATCGATGTTTCTCTCTCACTGATGTTTCTAACTCTCTATCCCTCTCCCTTCCTCTCTGTAAAAAAATCAATAACAATATATTTTTAAAAAAAGAAGAAAAAAAAAGAAAGCGCGTCCAGCCCTGGCCGGTTTGGCTCAGTGGATAGAGCATCAGCCTTTGGACTGAAGGGTCCCAGGTTTGATTCCGGCCAAGGGCACATGCCCAGGTTATGGGCTCGATCCCCAGTAGGGGGAGTGCAGGAGGCAGCCAATCGATAATTCTCTCACATTGATGTTTCTCTCTCTCTCCCTCTCCCTTCCTCTCTGAAGTCAATAAAAAAATAAAAAATAAAAAAGCGCGTCCAGGAAAGGCCGGAGCGGGGAGGTGGCAGCGCTGATGTTGTGGATTAGTGAGCGCCTGCGCACACTCTTCCTCAGAAAGTGTGACACCGCGTCACTGCCTCAGCTGGTGCCACGCCCCGGGTTCTCCCCTCAGAAACTTAGTTGCATGATTGCCGAGCTATATTATTAAGTCAAACAAACAAACAAACAAACAAGATTTGTAATAGTGTATAGAGGATGCTGTATAATAATGGGGGAAAATTGTAAATATATCTGCTCACATTTCCAACCATACAGCCAATATTTAGGGTGCCTGCATTGTGTTAAACACTGTTCAGATGTGTTAGAAGCTGGGACCGACACATGAGAGACGGTGCCATTGGTGGCCTTCAGGGAGGGAGCTGTGGGCTGGGGACAGTGGTGGGAGAGAGATTTTTCACTGTAAATGCATGTATATCTATCTATCTTTTGAATTTTGAACCGTGGGGGCTTTTATAAAAATGAATAGGATTGTGCCCGGCTGGCGTGGCTTCTGTCCGTGTTTGGGATTTCTCCGTTTCCAGAGCCCGCTCCCTTGCAGGCCTCTGTCCTGGCGGAAACCTCGCGGGCCCTGGCCTTGTCCTGGGGGAGGTGGGCGAGAGAAGGGAGGGCGAGGCCGTGGCGGTGGCGAGGCTGGGCACAGACATCGTGTGCTCTGGGCAGGAACACGGCCTGAACTTCCAGAGACTCCTGGATGCCAGCGCCTACAAGGAGGCCTATCGGCGGGACATGATCCTCTGGGGAGAGGCGCAGCGCCAGGCTGACCCCGGCTTCTTCTGCAGGAAGGTCGTGGAGGGCGTCTGCCAGCCGGTCTGGGTAAGGGTGCCGAGGGGCAGCATTGAGGAAACTCCGTGTCTCCAGGCCTCGCCTTTCCCCGAATGAGACTCAGATGTGCCCATTTCTCTCTTCTCACTGCCGCCTCCCATGGCCCAAGCCCTCACCATCTCTCCCCTGGACACCCTCGTAGCCCACACTGGTCTCGGCATCAGCGCTTGTCCCCTGTGAGTCATTCACCACCTAGCAGCCAGAGTGACTTTCTTTCTTTCTTTCTTTCTTTCTTTCTTTCTTTCTTTCTTTCTTTCTTTCTTTCTTTCTTTCTTTCTTTCTTTCTTTCCATCTATCTATCTAACTATCTGCCTATCTATCTATCTATCTATCTATCTATCTAACTATCTGTCTATCTATCTATCTATCTATCTATCTATCTATCTATCCATCCATCCATCCATCCATCCATCCATCCCTCACCCGAGGATATTTTTCCATTGATTTTAAGGGAGAGTGGAGATAAATTCGAAGGGGCAAAATAAAGGCAGCCAGGGCCGTGAGGAAGGCTGGGTTGCTGCTTTATTGAGGGGTAGGAAGGCCTCTCTGAAATGACATTTGAGCAGACCCGAAGGCGGTAGGGGTAAGCCAGATAGGTGTTTGTGGGCGAGGGGTGAGTGGCAGAAGGAGCAGTCAGATGGTGCAGCGTCTTTGGGAAGAGCCTGGATCTTTCTCTGGGTGAGATGGTGACTCCGTGGAGGCCTTTGAACATGGGACATGATGTGATCTGAGGTTGGAAGGCCCACCCTGGCTGCCGGGGGAAGGGCAGGCGTAGGAGCGGAGAGCCGGGGCGAGGATCTCTCTGTCAGAAAGGCAAAGTGGCCGTGGCCCGGCTCAGAACGGGGTGGGGAGGAGAGAGGGTGGATTCGGCACAGATTTCGAAGATCGAACCAATGGTGTGTTGGCTGTGGGTGTGAGGACAGAAGACAGTGCCAAGGGTTTTGTTCTGAGCAGCTGGAAAAACAGAGTTGTCGTTTTCTGAGACAGGA